TTCAATATGAACAAATATTTAATATGACTCGGTAGTCACGAATCACGAATCTTTCATATGACTCGGGAGTCACGAGTCACATGCAAGATTCGTACATTTTAAACGAATCACTCGCGAACGACACATCACTACGAACGACACATCACTCGTGTTTGTGTAACGTCTCGACGCCTGGATGCGAAATATAAGTAAACCACATAAAGTTTCCAAATGTTTTCACAAACCACAACAAGTATCAACCGAACTCTTACAACAACCGAAAACTAACTTTGTGTCAGGCTAATTACACGTGTTCACGGTTTAAAAAAAAACTGTGAAAGTGTTTCTGTGTGAACCTCACACACACACAAATTAAAACCCATAATAGGCTATATACATATATATATATATATATATATATATTATATTGCAATGATAGTCACCCGTATAATGAATAAAAAACACAAACACTAAACACAAAATAGAAACTACTTCTTACCGGTATTTTTGCCTAGTTCCAAAAGACCAGGTAATTTGAAAAGCTTCAGCAAACCTTCTTGTCACCATTTTTTTCTTATAAGTAAAAGTTAACGATAATCTCAAACCCATCGCGTGCCGGTGTTACCAGAAGCGCCCTACGTTTTACCGTTAAAATTCACCTTAAAATGTAAACACGAACGTTTATTTTTATTGTAATTTTCCCTCCATCGTGGAACGAAAGTGGCAGATCCAACGTCGGAGTTTCAAATTAAAACTCGGTTTAGTACAACAGCAAGCAAAAATGTCAGATTGAACAACAGTTGTTCTTGTACAATTTCACCAGTAGAGTGAGCAAGAGAACCATTAAAAGGTAATCCTTCTCAGAGACACAACCGTGTACAATTATCAAAAACCCTTTACTATTAAGAACTTACTTCCACAGCAGCAGTGTTTGGAAGTAAAAAAAAACATTTAGAGGTAATATTTATATTATTTAGGATTTCCTGTGGAATTTCCGAGCCAAATATAAACAAACATGTAGCTAACGTGTAGCTGACGCCTAGCCACATAAAATGACTTTAGAACAAGACATTAGGAGACCGATTTTTTTTAAAGTATTTAACAAATCAAAAGTCCTTACGGCCAAATATTATTAACTCCGTCTCTTGGTTTGGTTGTTTTGTTTTGTTTTTCCTGCTGTTCCAGTTGTAAGACTGGACTCCTGCTGTTCCCACTAAATGTGCAGGTTGCAGTCTTGACCTCACACAGTGGGAGGCGGCAGAATGGGTTACACATGGCACTTCAAACCTCCCTCAGTGTGTGTGTGTGTGTCTGGGAGTCATTTCACATATCTGATAAGTGTCGTCTTGCTTCACAGAAAATAAAAGAAAATAAGAGGTCACAGATGTCCCACCATCATGGAAACACTAAAGCCTAGATCTCAGAGGTTTAAAGCCCCACTTCTGGACAGTGTTGGTCATGACTGAACTTGTCATAAACTGAGATAATTTCCCAGTCTTTGTCTTTTGACTAAATTGCAAATCAGTCCCAATTTATTCAATAAAACTGTTTTAAGTCAAGGAAATATAAAAATTAAATATTTTTTGGGCTTTTTGGTGAATAAAACATAATAATATTCATTATTATTCATTATTATTTTTTGGTTAATGTTGTCCCTAAAGAATGCAGTAATAATTAAAGAGCAGATTACCCCAGGTTAAGAAACATGCATACAGTGTTTATTTTGCAACAGGACACATTAAATAAAACTACAAAGATACTTCACTTATACAAAAGATAGAATATATCCCATTCACAAACAAAACAAAACAATAATTTACTGTATAAATAAAAAAAAATCACTATTTTGCTATTTACAATTTCATGAAAACAATGTCCGGCTCGTCCGTCCTTGTTCTTATCTAATGATAGCTGGGGTGACTGTGACGCAAAGGTAGAACTTTTTGATGGACTTTTATTTGGGGGGAAAGCGCCCGTCACTCAGCAGATAGTGTGGTATATTACAGATGACAAGAGGACGGGGCAGCAAATAGGTGTTTGCATAATTTATCAGACCGTCTAAACAAATGGGCCCTGGTTTGATAAAAACTGTCACATTTGGTTAGCATGTGTTGGATTTGAGGGGACATTAATTTCCCAATGCGCTCCATACTCTGTCCTCGCAACCCCATCGCCACCCCCACCGCTCCGTCTGCTGTGAACATCACAGGCCCAGAGGCACGTCATCATGTCTTACAAAATTTAACATCAGTTCCAGTTGAGCAGGCGGACAGAGATATTGGTTTCGGGGATCACTCCTCCAACACAAACACTCCGACTAAAGTAATCCATTCAGCTCGGAGTGTATGATGGGGTTTTCTGTGACTCTTTAAATCTGAAAATAAGCAAAACTCCACCTTCATTGTTGTCAGGTTTCATTTATTTTTCTTTTATTACTTTGATTTAATGATTTTTTCACTTAATTTCTGTGGGTTTATATGTACAATATCCTGGAAAGTTCTGGAATCCGCCTATAAATCAAATCTTTTACTGTACTGTTTTTCTCCTTTCCTGAAGTGCAAGTGTTTTTGCAGGTAGGGGAAAATGTCCACCAGTTGACACACAAGGTGGCAGTATTACATCTTAAAGGTTTTTTTACAGTAGACGTGATAGTTGAGGCTTGGGCTCGTTACGAATTATGAAAATGTACGTTTAAGAGAAAATGTTTTCGTCGCCTTAACACAGAAACGTAAGGCTAAAGTATATGTTGTTGTTGTTGTTTTTAAATTCGTAGTTTGTGGTTTTAATATGTATCCTCGCTGTAGTAAGTGTTTGGTCTCAGCACTGTTGGAACTGTGAAGCCTCTACGGCTAGCTTTCCAGACGTCAAACAGCCTGAAGCTAGGACAAGTTAGCTTTACATTTGCATATCTTGCTAAGTAAGCAGTGATTAACACGTCTGTCACGAGGTGCATTACTCGTCCAATGGGAAATCATTATTTACAAACTGTAAGTAGAACCTGTTCCTGTTAGCTGTGGGATAAAACAGGATATTTAAACTGCTTTATTATTAGGACAGGAAGAGGGCGCCACATGCTCCGTGTTGACAAACAAAAGCTAAATTCTTGTACTTAACCTTTAAGGACACGGACTTAAACATCACCTGGTTTTTAAATGTTTAGTGTTCATTAATTTAACCCTGCTGCTGTTTTGAGCATGAAATTATTATATGTATAATTTGTTTTTTGGTGTCAAGTGCTGGAGTGAAGAAGACAAACGATTAAAATACATCATATTTAAGTGCACTCATTTCTGTTTGTTCTTTAATTACGTTTATCAGGGGACGGCCAGAGTCCAAACTGGCAAGTACTATAAATGTCACACAAAAAACCAAGAAACTGCTTGTGCATAGTACCGATGATGAGTGCTTTTGGTTGTGTTTGTCTGGGTGCACTGTTGGAGTCAAGGTGAAGAGTCCAGGATTTAGGACGTGGGACATCCTGTGATTTTTAAACTGTTTATGTGCTGTTTTTTAAAGAGACAGAAGAGGCTACATTTGTCCTCTGAGCTGAGTGGTATAAGAAGTACTCTGGGGGGCCGAGGGGATTGGGGGGGTTAGGCCGGTCTGATGTAGACGCAGAATGAATTAAAAAAACATACATAAATATCATCATTCCCCCATGATGAGTTACATAATGTACAACAATACCACCTCCCCTGAATTAAAAAGAAAATATAAAATAATGTGAACAATATGTTCAGTAAATGTTCAACACTACACATACGAGCATAGACCGAAATTAGAAACAATTATTTTCTCTCAAAGCCTTGTTTACTACATGATGTGAAAAAATGATGATTTTTCACTTTGAAAAAAAAAGAGAAAAATCATCATTAATCAAAAATGTTAATGGTCCAGTCTGGAGAGGTGTTTGGTTGAGTGTACTATGGTTCAAAAGGTTCAACGCTTCATATCACTGTACAAGATATGGCACCGTTCATGTTCCTCCTTGTGTTGAAGTGGCAGAACTCCCAGTTTGGATTCAGACTGTTTACATACACAGATGTTTTTTTTTTGGTTTTTTTAAACAAGTGTAGAGATTTGTGAAGGACCTCAGTCTGCTTCATGAAAGAAACAGATGTGAGGAATCTGAGATGAGGGGAGAGGTGGATCCAAAAGGCACTTGAACACCATCAAACCGGAAAAGTCTCCCACCCACAAATGATCCGAGGGGAGAGAAAAAAAAGCTCTCAGATCTTCCCAAGTCTCCCTAAATGGCAGTTAGTCTGCAAACTGCTGCCCCCCCCCCCGCCCTCCCCTCACCAAGCTCCATCTCTCCACCCAAATCCACATAAGTATCCAGCAAAAGTGTAGGCGGGCGCAATCTCTGTCTCTCTGATCTTTTTTTATTTTACGGTGGGTGATTTGACTCCAAAGTGCTGCGATGTTTAATTTCTCTAAGACGTTTCCATGTCCCGTGGACTCTCCTGGGAAAAGCACAACATAAATAACAGCAGCACTTTTTCAAACGGAGTCAGTAGGACGTTGGTGAACGTCTGTGTGTGTGTACATGTGGGGGGACTGAGGCTGTAAAAAAAAAAAAAAAGTTTCAGCACAGCGAAAAACATCTTTGTCTCTCTGTGTCTTTATCTCGTCCTTCAGCCTGGTGATGACTATGACACAGCAGGACACAGGTGATGAAGCTCTTTTTTTTTTCTCCCACTCCTGCAGTCTGACGGTGTGCTGATTGTTAGGTACGACTGAAGTGCGGCCTCAGTGAGCAGTGGAGGCCGTCTGCATCTTCGATGACAGACATGTGTCTTTGTAAGAGCAGCAAACCTTTTCATTTATCACGTTTTCTCCCACACTCTTGCCACTCGCAGCTCCTCTCTGTCTGTGTCGGCAGAGCTCTGCACTTTTTTGTCCATGGGCCTTTAAATAGCAGTCACTCAGTCCTTATCTTGAGCCACATTGTTGTTGGTGTCTCGTAGAGTTTTATTGTCTTAGGGCCCGGCACCTGAAGGGCCCTGAACCGCTACAGAAGAGTTGTGGGTGACGGTGGCATTTGGTGCGTGGAGGGATGTTGTAATGATGCTAGTTACCCACCAGGGGGCTTAGGTCTCCGTGGTGGTTCTTTAGTTTTTTCTTGAAAAGGGAGATAGTGGAAGGACGGTACTGGATGATCCAGGGCTCAGAGGAGGTCGTGCTCTGGCTGCAGGTGTCTGAACTGCTGACTGTCGAGATGTTGGGAGATCTTTGAGAGAGAGGAGTCAGAGTGAGCATCATCATCATCATCATCATCATCATCATCATCATCATCATCAATTACTAATTATGGCAACAAACTGAGCATCATATACAACATATACATAACCTGCTGACTGACACTTTAATAACTGCTGCTGTGTTAGTTTCTGCTGAAATCATTTGTTTTTATTTCCCTTATTCCTTATAAATATATAAATAAAGAAATAATAATAAACAATAAAAATAAAAAATAAAATAAATAAATAAAGGGATACATATATTTTTATTATATTTAAATTAATGTTAGTGAGTCCAAAAGTCAAAGACAAAAACAGTGAATTCATCTTTTAGTGCCAGCGACACACTAGAAAGTCAACTCAACGATGCACCAACTGTATTCTTAGAAAAAAGATATCTGTGTACGCCTATAATTGAGAGACAAAAAAAAAAAAAAACACCTGTGAGCTGCTGACAAACCTGCATCAATATTGACACATTTGTTATCTTTGCATAATGAGTTATTTTGTGGAAGAGAACAGTGTTCTGAGAAAGGTATCACATTGTTAGCAGTAGCATCAGTGCTAAGCTAAGGTAAAGAGTTTTAGGTTTTTTCATTTGAAAAAGTTACTAATTTTAACAACTAACTCAGGTATATATATTCAGGTATATATATACCTGAATATATATATAACTCAGGTATATATATATATATATATATATATATAATTAATTATGTAAACACTTACTTGTTCAAAGGAGAAACTCACAACGTCGCTAATGAAGTGGCCTGTATGTACTTTATGTTCAAACATTTCCTTCTTCATGCTGCATTCTTGAGATGCCCGACCCAATTAATTCAAACCACCATCCATCTGGCTATGACAATGTTTCTTATTGTCTGTACTCAGTAATTTAATCAAGCTAATCATTAGTTCATTATTCCTACGCTTTTAATTAGGCACAGAGTGTTTTGACCGCCGTCGGCAGGGACCATTGACGTTGTTGTGTCACCGCCTAAATTAAAGGTAATGTCTCATAAGTTGTTGGCGGCACATCCTGAATAAAATTTAGAGAATATTTTTGGTTATTCAGATTTTTGTGATTTCACTGACAAATCTAGTTTTATTTCTTGAACATAAATGTCAGTGTCTGATCCGTCTAGCAATCAGACAATCGTAGCTAGAACAATTGGATAAAACTCCACCAAAACTGCAATAATTCAAAGCTTAAAAGTGTGTTTGGACAAGAATTATTAAACGATATGATTATAATAAGATTATTAGAAAATTATACTTTATGTATAAATGTGGTTATTTTGAGTTTTTTTGCTTCATTTGAACCTTGAATAAAAACTTAGATACAAAACAATTTCCAAAACTTTCTAAAGATAGTTTGAGAGATTACTAGCATGGATACACGGCCTGGTACTGGTCCCCAGGCCAGTGGTTGGGGACCCCTGTCTATCCCTGTCATTATTTAGACAAAGCCCCAATAATGGTTTAGCAGCTTTGACAGACTGAGTGTACTGTTCAGTAGAGAGTGGAAGTTCCTGCTTCATTAGAACAGAGCAGCGAAATCTCTGTTTTGAAAAATTTGAAAAATTTGCCAAGATGAAAAAGGCACATAGCAATAAGTGCCTCACTAATTGGATGACATAAGAACATTTTAGGTCTGACACTAACTAATGGTATGAAATATAATGATATAATTGTATATTAATTATGGACAATTACAGTAAGTGCATCCAGGTGAATTCTGAACACTGTCTAATCCGGTCCAATTTCATTAATGAGATAATTTGATCAGGTGTGATATGAAAGCACCAACACTCTGGCACTGCCTTCAAACAAAAACGTGTTAAAAAAAATTGGAAACGACTATAAAGATGGAAGGACTTCAATCAATTTTTTTCTTTTTTCTTTTTCCAACTTTTGCACAGATAAAACATGAGAGCTGAGATAAAGCGTATCGGTGCTCGTACTGTACTCACTTGACTGTCATGTGCAGCAGCAGCTTGGCTACCATGGCGATGACGGTCACGATGAGGAGGGCAGCCAGGGCGTAGATGGTCCACACTTTAGAGAGGGAGAGAGACAAGACACACAGACATCAGAAAGCGTGTGCCTGTAATGAAAACAAACTGGAGCAGACTGGGAGAATTAGCAACCAAATAATTATCCAAGCACCGCCGCCACACCTGTTAGCAGAGTACAGCCAGGAAATTGTCAAAGAACAGTGATGCATTATCAGTGCACAGCTGTTCCCCTCGGGTTAAGGAATAAATCAGATCGCACTCCATGACGGCGCTCGGAGTTTGTAAATAGTAAGTGGAGAACAGGACAGTCCGCTAACAGAGGTCTGTTGATGGTACGGAGAGTGAAGTTATCCTACAAGTATGAGTATTAGTATTAGTACCTGGCAACACTGCTGCTGAGTAACAGAAAGGGGAAAACTGCGATCCTCACACAGCATTACTTTTGATCGCAGTATGCCACTCTGAGAAACTGAGAGCAAATGTGGGTTACCGTATTTTCCTGACTATAAGTCGTACTTTTTTTCATCCTTTGGATGGGTTTTGCGACTTATATATTAAAATATATAATTTCCCCTGTTTGTTATTTTCACACTGACAGCCACTAGAGGGCACTCCACCAGTTTGTCCACCAGTATCTGCTTCTCCTGTAAGTCGCACTTTTTTTCAGCCTTTGGCAGGTGCGACTTATAGTCCAGGAAAATACGGTAGTTACACTTTTTTCCCGTATACTGTCAAAGAAAGCAGGTCATGCTAACTAGTCGATCCAGTCAGGAAGCCCCCCAGTAGAGACAGAGATAGTGGTTGCAGTGTACAGTGGGTGTCAACATACTAGCGCTGTGGCCGTTGGTCTCGCCGCGTCCAGCCCACTGACCTGGCATGTTGTGCTCCGGTTTACCGGGGCTGGACGTGATCACGTAGAGGATCTGGGAGCGTCCGTTGGAGGTGCTGTTGGATCTCTCGGTGACGCCACCTGCCAGCCTTGGGCCTACTGTGCTGGAGACGTCCTCACCTTCATCGTCATCCACTCCTTCAGCCTCTAGTGTTCTGGTGTCTTGGCTTCTCAGTGCTACATCAGCGGTTACAGAGATGAAGAAGACATTAATGTTGTTGCCTCCACATTCAATTATTTGTTCCTAGTAAGCAACCTGAAAAGTAATAAATATTTATATAAATATAAATATAAATATAAATATAAATATAAATATAAATATAAATATAAATACATGTATACTGTATATATGTATATTTATACATATATAAATATATATACATATATGTACGTATATGTATATATGTATGACAACAACAGGGTTAAACCAAAACCTTTCAAAACTGCTCCTGAACCTGGGAAGTGGAGACACACACACTTACAACATACTGGCATTTCAATAACTCAGTGACTCAGTCGTGGAGACTGATCTCATGACCAAACGTATACTGTTTCAACTTAATTTGTGCTCGACATGATCCCATGATACAAAAAGAAAAACGTTAATCAGTAAAACATCATGAGAACAGTAATAGGATAACAGACGACTGCTGGGTGTGACACTAATTAATTTAATGACAGAAAATGACAGTTGAAGCATCCTGCTGTTCCGACCGCACTGTCATCACATGTATTTTAATACGAAAAGGTCATTTGCATAAGTGAGCTGTTAGCCTCTCCTTGTCATGTGACTGAGTGAATGTCAGCCATTCACTCAGTCTACAGGTGTCCTAGACTTTACGTTTTTAATGTGACGCACCCACTGTTACACTAAGCTCATAATGACTTGTAATTACTCTGATCATTGTTCCTGCAATGACATCAGCTCAGGTGTGATGACAGTGTGATCAGCTGCACAGGAGTAAACACCACAGCCTCCTGCTTTTATAAGGTAAAAACAACAGAGAGTTCAAACAATCAGTTCCCTTTCATCTCTTACATCTCAGCAAATTTAAACGCTATATTCATGAAAATCTGCTGCTCTCAGTCACCATAAAATTACAAATAAAAAAAAAAATATGGGAAATGTTTAAATTGAAATTGGCTGTACTCCGCGGACCCTGGCAATAACTCCGTGTCTACTTTGGTGCGTTTTGAAAGCCTCTGGAAATCAAAAGTAACCGCTTAGCTGCTTCATGTGTTCCTCGCTCTCGGGGAAAAGTCGTGGCGAGCGTTGAATCTGCGCCAAAGAGTCAGAGCTGTGAGTGATTTCTACAAGTCACGGACACAAATCACTTAGCACAGATCACTTAGCATGCCTTTGATCACGCCTGTGGGTAAATAGGCACGCTGCAGCCAACATACAGTAATAAGATAAGGTTGTGTTGACTCTGTTGTTGAAAGTATATAGCATATACAGCCGAGTCACCAGTGACTATTTAATACCAGCTGCACACACTGACTCTGCTGTAAACGTGGCGTCCAGAGCTGCTCCTGACGTGAGTTCCATCTGAGATCTTTTCGTTTTCAACCTGCCTTCAGCTCCAGATGGGCAGAGTTTTCTTCTAAAAACCACAGCACCCAAGCCTGGGGATAGTTTATAATTTTGAAAAAATTACGATGTGATACTACGTTGAACACCTCATCCCAAAGTCTACGTGCTGTGAATACGTCTTGCTTGTGTTGTACAACCTGGCCTCCACATCTGCAGATGAAAGCCCTGGCATGGGTTTTTATTTCTACAGCTCTTAGTAAGTACAAGTTGTTTCAGCCTTGTTCTTTTTGTCCGGAGACTTTGTTGATACTAAAATACCGGGGGGAAAAATTCAATACAGTGATTCAACAATGTATAAAACCCTCAAAGAATCCGAACAATTACACACTTGTTCTTATTAGGCAGCTTTGAAAGGATTCTTTAGAAATATGACAATTCTAGATGGCCTGTGAGTGTGGGATGAACTGCAGTAAATGGAAAAAATCCATGGCTGCAGTTTGTGCTGGGGATTGAATTGATGACCTTCTTCCTGCAAGGCAAGAGCACTAACCACTGTTCCCACTTGTAGTTGGAGAAGACTGTTGACTACGATATGAAATGCTGGTTGATTAGCTGACAAAATTACACATATTTATATATATATATGTATATATAAAAATAAATACATATATAAACATTAGCAGTTTGGGACGCCTGGTGTAATTGGTTGCTCCCCCTGTAAGTTTGTAAATTCCTCCAGAAATCAATGAAGACAAAATCTCTCAACTAAATAATCCAATTCAAATCAAGCGTTTCCATTTTTTCATTCAAACACTACAGCTGGATCTTTTTTTTATGGAACTGTTCAACCTTTCAGAGAAAACTATTGTTCTTTTTTTTCAGAACTTCACATTTTTCCCCATTTGTAGTCGAAGGACTGTGCCTAAAAAGCCTGGTTTGGCTGGCGTCCTTTGCTGCTGCCAGATAAGAGCGTCTATTATCACAGTAATTTCAACTGCTCCCTTTGGGACTGAGGAGATATTTGATGTGTTTATCTCTTTATAAATATTGTGGAGTTTTGGAAAGGGAGCTTTTATTTTCTAACAGAATCCACTTTTTTTTATCCTGATGTAAAATACTGACATGGAAAATTAAAGGCAATTTAGATTGTTCTTGTTATGTGTTCAGAAAACATGGACCCTGGGATATTAGAATAGACATCAAACAGAATGACAAATGTAGGTGGAGAAGGAGGAGCGAGGAGTGTCTGAGCTTGAATGTCACATAAGCTGAATTATTTGTGGTCTGTGCCACCGATTATGATATTAAAGAGAAGACACAACAAATAATTCAGTGTGAGTTTTCTAACTGCACAATGTCTGCTCTGGAGTCACATGACGGCATCGGGGGGACAGGACGCGGAAAACAATCACAGAGTCCTGTATGTAGGTGGCATAAAATAATCACTGTGGAAGTTTGAGTGCAGAGGAGTTAAAGGTCTGCTGCAGGTTGATAAGAGAGTCCCATACAAAAGAAAACACAACGTTATTTGAATATGGCACCTCACACCCAGGGCAGGGAAACATTGACTTGCAAATTAAAAAAAAAAAAAAAGAATTTGCCAGTGGCGTGACATCGGGCTCACAGAGTTGACAATCGTTACTCTAACCCTGGATTAATGACAAAAAAATGTCCATGACCGCATCATCAAAGCAAACATGCAAATGTGACTGATGCAGAGCCAACAGGATGTAGTCAGAAGTGTTGTTGATGGACCAAATGATAGCATAATAGCATATAATGACATTTCACTAAGTGTGATTTTAAATGTATTTAACTGAATTTCCTCAGTGTGGGATGAATAAAGTCTTATCTTATCTTAACAATGTTATCTTCAATCTGCTCTGATGTGTGGTTTATAGACAGAGGCTCTGACCATAGACAAAAGGCTGAGCTGGAGGTTGAGAAGATGAAGATGCTGAGATCTTCACTAGGAGTCACCAGGATGGACAGGAGTAGAAATGGGATGATGAAGTATGGAGATGAAGTTAGAGAGGTGAGGTGGAGATGGTTTGGATATGAGCTGAGGAGAGAGGAAGGAGAAAAAGGAGGAGAAGAAGAAAAGGAGAAAAGGAAGTAGAATAAGAAGGAGAAGAAGAAGTAGGAGAAGAAGAAGAAGGAGGAGAAGAAGAAGAAGGAGAAGAGGAGGAAGAAGAAAAATGGTTCAATATAAATGTTGTACAATGAATTAGAACGGTATCACTACTATATATAGCGTGCAATTAAAGAGCACTTTTCGGGGGATGGAGACACTCATCTCATGTCAGTTTAAAGTGACAGTAAATGACTGCAGTGACATCTGTAAACTAAAAGTTATTAGTGTTGAATACTTACCCTGGTAAAGCAGAGCAAAGCCTTGGGCCTGGTTGGTGCGGTCAGAGTAAAAGTAGAGAATGACAAAGTTGCCCGTGATGTTCACCAGCTCCCGTGGTGGGCTACGCCAGTCAAAGCGCGCCACCACCTGGTTGGTGTAGCCGTCCAGTAGCTCCACCATGTCCGTCTGATCGGAAATATCGAAGAAAGTGAAGTTGAAGAGGATGGCGAAGGCTTCGGGGACCTGGACGGTCCAGTAGCACACGCGGCTGGCTCCGTATTTGTCTGGGAAGTCAGGAGAGTAGATGACTCCTGACGGAGAGGTGTAGTTCCCCCCACAGGCCCCTACTCGAGCTAAAAAAAATAAAAGAACAAAAATGATGTAAAGGTTGATAACTTGTCCACAAATATTATTTAAATGAAATAAATGAAATATCTCTTATACATAATTCAGTGGTTCTCAAAATGGGGATGCAGGCCCCCTAGGGTACTTATTTTGAAGTTTGCTAGTTGTATTTTTTGTATCACGTTAAAACAACGCTCACTATCAAAGACGATGACCCAGCCATCTCCACCGCAGGGCTGGGTGTGGTCTCCAAAGCAAACATGGTTGCACTCCTTGCTCGGCGACTCCCCATGGTCCTGCAGGTCAACCTCATTTCCACAGAAACAGGCATATCCGGATTCCATGCCTGCGAGCTGCAGAAAAATTAAGGAAATAAAAAAACATATAAATCATTAAATCATCTGCAAAAAAGTTAATTATTTCTGCCACTCATTAAAGTGAAACCTTCCAACGGTTTCACATATTTTGAAGCAGATCAAAAGTTTCTTTGACTTTTTTAGAAAACTAAATGCATTGAAATAATTTAGGTGAGCTATTCTCCAGGGATCAAATATATGGATTTTTTTCCATTGTATCTGATCCTCATGGTACAATAACCATTAACACAATATTCTATATTCAGGTCATAAACACCTCCACATGCTGCAGGTACAACCTCGGACACAGTAGAGCTGACAGCATCAGCATGACACGCAGACATAGTTTTTCCTGCCACAGTGAGGCAAAAAAAAAGCTTGAATGGAAGTCCAACAGCCTCTCATTATCCCACCATATATATGCAATCATTTTCAATATCCATGTGACACAAAATGGCAATACTAACTCCTAAATTATTAAAATTTTCTATTGCTATTTAATAGTATACTTCAGTATAAAATTGTGCCTTATTTCGGTCTCTAAGTCACACAAGAATTCCTCTGTGTCTGGTTTTATGCACACCACGGTTGGTGAGTCCACTGGAAGGTACCAACTGCCCTAACCGGGATTTGATCTTGTCCAGGAGGTGAACCCTGGGGTTCAACACCACTGACAGAGACATTGCCTCTGGGCCAAAGTGCCAGTATCTAACCAACAGTTTGGGTTATTGTGGCATACCTATCTTGTGTAATTTGTCTTTCTCCTGGTGTCCATTTCACAATGCTATGATGTGACTTCGGAGCTACAACCTTCCCCCCACCAAGACCACCTTGTTATTTCACCCAGAATTTAAAAAAGGCATCTGTCCATCATTCTAATCAAAACAGTTGGTGAACTATTCCTAACTACGTCACTGTAGGGGTGTAAAATGTCAAAAACCTTCACACATCTTGACCACGCCACCACTGGCTGCTGGTCCTCAAGAGAACTATTGTCCTTCAATCAAAAAGGCACCATTGTCCAATTTTCAGGCCCCAAATGAATTCACAGAAGTGAAGGTGATGCATCGTTTCCCACTCTGCAGCTCATGGAATAGGAATTCACGCAGCCTCTGCCCTCGCCGATACAGCTCAAGCTGCTTCCTTGTTGCATTATTCTATCTGATGAATAAACGTTTGAGAACGCCAGTGTGAATGTTTCTGATGGAGCGAGCGAGTGTTGAATAGCTGTCTCGCACAACACACATGCCCCTTGTCAAAATGTCAGAGAAGATCTGCTCTCCCAAGCATTGGGATCTCAAACCCCGCGTTACAGACGGCGACAGTCCGAGGGCAGGCGCGCTGTGCGAATCTGCCACCACATCCTGTAACATCTGCTGCAGTGTGAGGGGAGGGTGGAGCTGTCACAACCTGTCACTGCAGACCAGGCTGAACCTGATCTGCTGAGACCAAAAATGAACACCTGGCACAATTTAAGTTGGAACAATGGGCTGCCAGAGATGGGAAACCTGCAGTGAATGGGAAGTGGCCATTACAACTATAACCATTCATTTTCAGCCATCAGTCCTGATTGCTGGGATAATTCATGATCTGCCAGTTGGTTTGAAACATTTTAACACAGAGACACTTGATGGATGAATAAAAAGGATTTAAACCGTGTTCTGATAATTATTGGTGTTGCCGCTCCTGAATGCGGATCATTTACATAAAAGCTTCCGGCAGCCGGCGGCTTATGTCTATCTTTTACAAATAATGTGGGAAATGAGTTTGTTTGTCAAATGAGAGGGACAATGTGAACAACAAAAAGGCACACACTCTCCCTGAGTGAAAAAAAAATTACTCATAAACTTATGAAACTGATGGTTAGAACCCTTGCCTGACTGCTAAAAATAAGGTTTGATTCCCTGAGGTGACAGATGGCCTTTCTGCAAAACATTTGCATGTTTTGCCCATGTCTCATTGGTTTTCAGAATGCTCAAATTGGTTGTGATTCTGTGGAGTTATCAATAACTTATATAAATATATTTTATGTACAAAAATATTTAAAGTAACCTGGCGAATCTCTTTAGAACAGTGGTTCTCAAACTGTGGTATGAGTACCACAGCGAGCGCTCTCTAGTGGTACGTGGGGATAATTCATATTTTCACATTTACATTTTCCATTGAATAAATCTGAAACATACCATGTACAATTAATACAACATTTAAACATAAACATCTTTCTAAACATTTCTAAACATCTCTCATGTGGTGGAAGCTAACAGTGAAGGCCTATGCTGCTATATTCTAATGTTGGTCATCATGGTGGTACTCAGAGAGATCCAGGTACAGAGTTTAGAAAGTTGGAGAACCACTGTTCTAGAAGCAAGACTAGTTCCCCTGGGATAGATTAACACACTGTCCAGAAAAAAAGGATTAAGTTGTGAAACAGTGGTTCCCAATCTATGGTCTGAGGACCACTTGGCCTCACTTTAGCAGTAATGGTTCGTTAACACTTAATTTCTAATCAGCCAATCACATGGCGGCAACTCAGTGCATTTAGGCATGTAGACATGGTCAAGACAATCTCCTGCAGCTCAAACCGAGCATCAGTATAGTATAGTATCAGTGGTGTAATGGTGTGGGGAATATTTTCTTGGCACTCTTTGGGCCCCTTGGTACCAATTGAGCATCGTTGCAACGCCACAGCCTACCTGAGTATTGTTGCTGACCATGTCCATCCCTTTATGACCACAATGTACCCAACTTCTGATGGCTACTTTCAGCAGGGTAATGCGCCATGTCATAAAGCTGGAATCATCTCAGACTGGTTTCTTGAACATGACAATGAGTTCACTGTACTCAAATGGCCTCCACAGTCACCAGATCTCAATCCAATAGAGCATCTTTGGGATGTGGTGGAACGGGAGATTCGCATCATGGATGTGCAGCCGACAAATCTGCGGCAACTGTGTGATGCCATCATGTCAATATGGACCAAACTCTCTGAGGAATGCTTCCAGCACCTTGTTGAATCTATGCCACAAAGAATTGAGGCAGTTCTGAAGGCAAAAGGGGGTCCAACCCGTTAGTAGCATGGTGTACCTAATAAAGTGGCCGGTGAGTGTATATTAGCAATTTATTGGGATTGCCTTTTATACTAAAAGTGTCTTTATTCTGAAGATATGTCGTTCTTTTGGTTCAATAGTGCAGGAGGACAAAGATAAACGCTAACAAAGCAGCAACAGCTGAACCGTACCTGTGTTTGGCATCTTACCTTGTATCTCTGCTTTCTACAAAAGCTGATACAGTTTTGAATAGTGAGCTTGTTGGAAGTCTCACTGGTTCCTGACAGAGTGGGTGGATCACCACTGTCTTTGAAGCAGCCCAAGTTCCCAGGCACTGTAGAGAGAAAATAAACAGAGATCAAAAACACAGATCAGCAATGTATTATTTAAATGGGTTTAGTTACATGTGGCGCTTCTTTTTATAGCAACTGCTTGTGGATCTCAATATAATAAATGCTCAATGCAGCCTTTGAAATATTTGTTTCTTTTAGCAAACATTGAAACTGTTGACAAGGCATATATAACAACAGAAATAAACCTAGACAAATCGTTGTCATTGCTATGCTATTGGCTAATTGCTAAGCTAATAGCATAGCACTTGCTAGTTTTGACAACAAACTTTTGATTATGTAAGAAATGAAAGAAACAATACCCAAAGACAAGCTGGAAGTACAAGTCTGTTTTTGTCCAATATAATATACAATACAATGTCATATCCTGCAACCAGGCTCTTGATGGATGTTTGGTTGGTTTTTTTTTTATTATCTCAAAACAAGATCATAATTTACTGACATGACATTCCATTAGGCCAGTCCCGAGACTACTCAATAGGAGTAGACTGTTGAGGTCTGTGTTTAGTGTTGCTATAAATCAAGTGAGAAGTAGCTTTTTCCTGCAGGTTTCTGTTTCTATTTTCCTGGAGCATCTCTTCAAAAGCACTCAAACCAACCATACTAGCAGGTAAGCCCTTCAGTTAGTGAGGATATCCACAAACTCAACATAAATTCAATTCTGGTTGTATTACTACCACTGGCCAGCAGGGGCTGACTCTATTAGATCCTGGCTCCCTATGACACTATCATTAAACAGATTTTTGTATACATTTTTTTTGTGTGATTTTCAACAAATTAAAAGTTCTAAAAAATATAAAATATCAATCTAATTATTTTTAAAATATTTAATTACTAAACTTTGAGCAGTCGTGGGGAATGGGTCATTTGGTACCTGACCAATGGTACTAATGGTCTGAAAATATAAAAATAATAAAACATATATATATCTAAATAATAATAATAATATAAT